CCGCGCGAGCGCCTTTTCTTGGAGGCGAATAACCTGACCCCCGGCTCGATGAGCGAACTATGGATACATCAAAGAAAAGTACCGGAGGAACACAGGATTTAGTTCTGTGTGGACAGAAATATCTGCTTTCACAGCAAACAATGCTGGTTTACCGGAATGTCTGATATGTAGAGAGAAGTTGTCAACGGTGGTGCAGCCTTTACGTATCGAGGAACAACACGGGGAGGAAGACAGCTGACGATCTTCAGTCATCATTCAATGGGGTATGTCATTTATTTCAGAAAACACTTTTTGTTATATTCCATGGAATGCTCTTAACGTCCCGATAGCAATGAATACATTAAACGCTTTGACAATAAATACATACAAAAATGTATCTCTGGAAGCCGTAGCGCTGTAAAAAGCACGACCAATCATCTGAGCCGGCTAAAGTAACTGGATGGCCTAACTGCCTGTCAGCCTTCCATCTGTGCACAAACGTATCTCGTGCCCTCATTGGTCATGTGCGCGTTCGTGTGTGTTGGAGGAGGGGCTCTGTGAGGAAGTCTGAAGGCATATATTTTTTCCGGTTGTGTACTTTCAAATTCTAGCGCGCTCGAGCTGGTTTCTCCATTCTTACCCACCTTTAACTCTTTTTAGTGTGCAGCTGTTTTATTTATTTCAAAGTGGGCCCATTTTAATAATATGTTTTTCCTTCAAATGTGCAGAGGACTCCCCAAGTGCTGTGTTTAATTTATTTTAAAGTAGGCCTGTGTATCATTTTGAATTCTCCTTATAAGAGTTATTTGTTTCTCATTAGAGGTTAACAGTTTTATATCATGTCATAAATAACCTAATAAATGCAAAAAAACTGTAGTTTTTGTCTGATATAACAATAAAAAACTATGAAATGTTTTGCGGCTCCAGACAAAAAAATGTTTTGGAAAAAGGAGCAAAATGGCTCTTTTGGTCAAAAAGGTTGCAGAACCCTGGGTTAGGGTTAGGGTCTTCGTGTGTTGGGTTAGGGTTAGGGTCTTCGTGTGTTGGGTTGGGTTAGGGTCTTCGTGTGTTGGGTTAGGGTTAGGGTCTTCGTGTGTTGGGTTAGGGTTAGGGTCTTCGTGTGTTGGGTTGGGTTAGGGTCTTCGTGTGTTGGGTTAGGGTTAGGGTCTTCGTGTGTTGGGTTGGGTTAGGGTCTTCGTGTGTTGGGTTAGGGTTAGGGTCTTCGTGTGTTGGGTTGGGTTAGGGTCTTCGTGTGTTGGGTTAGGGTTAGAGTCTTCGTGTGTTGGGTTAGGGTTAGAGTCTTCGTGTGTTGGGTTAGGGTTAGGGTCTTCGTGTGTTGGGTTGGGTTAGGGTCTTCGTGTGTTGGGTTAGGGTTAGAGTCTTCGTGTGTTGGGTTAGGGTTAGAGTCTTCGTGTGTTGGGTTAGGGTTAGAGTCTTCGTGTGTTGGGTTATGGTTAGGGTCTTCGTGTGTTGGGTTGGGTTAGGGTCTTCGTGTGTTGGGTTGGGTTAGGGTCTTCGCGTGTTGGGTTAGGGTTAGAGTCTTCGTGTGTTGGGTTAGGGTTAGAGTCTTCGTGTGTTGGGTTAGGGTTAGAGTCTTCGTGTGTTGGGTTAGGGTTAGGGTCTTCGTGTGTTGGGTTGGGTTAGGGTCTTCGTGTGTTGGGTTGTGGATTAGCCCAATTTGTTTTAATCTCCCTTTTAGTGTGTTCTTTAAGTGGATTTGGGGGGTTTAATGAATAAACATTGATTGATTGATTGATTTAATGACTGGGTGGAAAGGCCACTTTATTTGGCCAGAAGTTGATGTTGGTTGCTACGCTGGATCCTAACTGTGTTGGGAAGCATCTCTGAACGTTTCCATGGATCTAATCTGTAAATATTGGACTTTTTGGAAGTATGTTGTAGAAAAATGAAATCATCCAAAATAATTAGGAATCTGCAGAGAGATTACAGCAGCGTTCAGAAATGTGATTATTTCTCACTGTCTGGACAACCAGGAAACAGACCCTCTGCAGAGACCCTAATGTGCACGAAACCTGGGATTTCACTGATTTAGTTTGAGCATGGAGGTCAGAGAGGTTCGTCGACTCTGCGGAAAACAGTCGCAGGTTATTTTAGACTAACTCTATTAACCATCTGATCCCCATCATCTGTCCACTGGTGCTACTCACCTCTTCAGTCCATCGGGTTGACTGCTATACAGGAACGTGTAATGCACTATACAGCAGGTGTCATTGAAGGCGTGTAGTAAAGCCTGTCGCCAAGACACCCTTTTAGATCCGCCTCAGCTACACATGGAGAGCAGGTCTGTTGGTTTTTGGGTTAGGGTTGCATGAATAGCAAAAACCGTAACAAGGTTCATTTCTCCTTTTGGTGGAGAAAATGGGTATTTGCAGAGCATTGATATCTAATGTTGGTGATGCAAATATCCGGTAACAACCAATCAGATTGCACCAACCAGTAAGACACTGCAGAAGCTCCGAAATGCATAAATGAAAGCACGTTTAAGAGCATCACCTCTCACGTACAGATTTGAGACTGTAACAGGCTGATGATGAATGAAAGCCTCTTGAGCTCAGCGGTGTAACGTTTCTGCATTCTGACGTCCGTCCAGAGCTCAAATAACCAGCAGCTGCTCGCTGGAGGCCGGAGAGCTATTTCAACAAGAGCTCTGAAAGAAACGTCTCTGACTGAAACTGATGGGAAGAGAAACACACTGGGGCTTTCCCTCCTTCATCATGTGAGGTTCATTCCGACCCCTAAGTGTGTTTTAAGTGGATTTCTGTCTGCGGGTGGAAAACCCCTTTATTCCTCTTTGAAATGAAGTCTGGATCCTGCAGGTTTCTCGTAGTCTGTTCCAGATACATGGAGCTTATTAACTGAATTCAGCCTCTCCAAGTTAAGGTTGAGTCTTTGTGACCTCTTTAGGGTGTTAAAGTGGATTTGGGGTTTTTACGACTGGAAAACCACTTTCTTCCTCATTAAGTTGGTCTTTCGAGACTGATTTTGAGGAGTTTTAGTGTTTTCTGCCACTTTATTCCTCTTTAAATATCAGCCTCTCCAAGTTAAGGTTGAGTCTTTGTGTGTTGGGTTTTGGATTGGTCCATTTTTATAAATCTCCCTTTCAATTTTGACCCCTTTTGTGTTTCTTTAAAGTGGATTTGGGGTTTTTACGACTGGAAACCCACTTTCTTCCTCATGAAGTTGGTCTTGATCACTAGTCTGGATCGAGTAGTTTGTTCCAGATACATGGAGCTAATTAACTGAATATCTTCCTCTCCAAGTTAAAGTCGAGTCTTTGTGTGTTTAGTTGTGGATCGGCCCATTTCCCTCTTCATTTTGACCCTTTTTTTGTGTTTTCTTAAGTGGATTTTGGGGTTTTACGACTGGAAAACCACTTTATTCCTCATTAAGTTGGTCTTTCGAGAAAGAGTTAGAGAAACCCTGAGAGCAAAATGTTTGAATAACGGACTGATTTTGAGGAGTTTTAGCTGCCACTTTATTCCTCTTTAAAATGATCTTGATGGCAGGTTTCTGTTTGTTCCAGATACATGGAGATTAATAACTAAATGCAGCCTCTCCAAATGTTAAGGCTGAGTCTTTGTGTGTTGGGTTGTGGATTGGCCCATGTCCCTTTTCATTTGGACCCTTAGGGTGTTTTTTAAAGTGGATTTCTGTGTTTTTACGTCTGGAAACTTTCTTCCCCCTGAAGTTGATCTTGATCACTAGTCTGGACCTTAGCTTGTCTTTCTGAAGGTTTCTATGGATAATATATAAATGTAATCCACAAATATTTTCTTTTGTGGTTTTATGGGGAAAAATGTCACTAAAATCTGCAGAGATTTCAGCAGCGTTCAGAAATGTGATTATATCTCACAACCAGGAAACAGACCCTCTGCAGAGACCCTCATGTGCACCTGGGATTTCACTGATTTAGTTTGAGCATGGAGGTCAGAGAGGTTCGCCTCCTCTGCGGAAAACAGTCTAACTACTAACTATCTGATCCCCATCATCTGTCCACTGGTGCTGCTCACCTCTTCAGTCCATCGGTTTGACTGCTGTACAGGAACGTGTAATGCACTATACAGCAGGTGTCATTGAAGGCCTGTCGCCAAGACACCCTTTTTCCTGTGGCTTCTTCATACAGGTAATAACGATATTCAGTTCCAGGTAGAATCCATGTGTGTTGGGGTTTTTGATCTTCCTTGGGTCATGTTTAGTGAGCTTTAGGTTCAACTGAATCTCATATCTGCACTCGAGGTTTCTAACATTCCTCCCTCGTTAACTGGGGGTTTCTTTGAGGGGTTCTTTACCTGTAAAGCCCCTGAGGCTGTGGGAAAGGTGTGGTATTGGGCAGTATGAATAAACCTTGATTGATTGATTGATAAACGTTTAATCATCACAAGACCTGGTTCCTTGAAACCTATCTAGAGCATTAGAAGTATCTTTCCCAGTCCTGAAGCTACGGGTAATCCTGGTTCTTTCAATCCTAGACACCCTTAGACCATTAGAAGTGTCTTTAGTTGCTAGTCTGGATCTTAGCTTGTCTTTCTGGAGGCTATGGATCACATGTTAGAGGTTTAAACCCTATCCTAAGACCCTTAGAAGTCGTTTTCAGTGGATTTGAGGGTTTTTACGACTGAAAACCCACTTTATTCCTCATGAAGTTGGTCTTGATTGCTAGTCTGGATCTTAGCTTGTCTCTCTGAAGGTTTCTATGGATATTGGCTGCTTCTAAGAGCTTTTGGAGGCTTCCAAAATCTCTCCTTTAATCTCCCCTTTGTAAACCCTAACCCTAGCACAGAATGACCCCAGGTGTGTCTCCTACCTGGTAGATGACCACCCTGAACTTGTTCTTGGCCAACAGGTCTCCATTTGAAGTAGTTTTACCAGTCCTGGAGCTACAGGTAACCCTGGTTCTTTAAACCATCTCTAGTTTTTAGATCTCCTACCTGGTAGAGGACCACCTGAACTTGTTCTTGGCCAACAGGTCTCCATTAGAAGCATCTTTCCCAGTCCTGAAGCTACAGGTGAAACACAGCAGGTGTGACTGAGACGTTTCCTACCTGGTAGATGACCACCTTGAACTTGTTCTTGGCGAGCAGATCTCCCTGCGTCGCCTCCACCTTCTTCACCCTCACGTTCTGGTTCTCCACCCTCACGCGGACGTCCTTCACGTGACGGCTGACCTTCCGTGTTTTCTCCAGCAGTCGGTCCACGGTGGAGCTGGTGTTTGCGTGGTCGCTGGTCAGCTTCACCACGTCCGTCTGGATGTTCTTCACCGTGCTCTCCAGGTTCAGCTGACGCTCCTCCATGCGTTTCTGCGTGGTTTGAACGCTGTCCATGAGCCCGGCGACTCGCTCCAGAAGCGCCATGATGTTGGAGGCGTCATCCCCTCCGGACGGGACACTCTTATCGGTCATGGTTTGGTGTTTTGTATCAGGGAGGAAGGGGAAGGAAGGAAACCCTGGAAAGACCACCTAGGTGTGGAGGCTGTGAGCAGGAAGAGGCTTCGAGGCATCGAGGGGTCCGGAGTAAGAGAAGGAGGATCAGAAAGAGAAGAAAGTTGGTGAAAGGAGACCCTCCCTCCGTCGACTGGAGCCCAAAGACTCCACCCTGACTCTGGGGAGGGAGAGGGGGGAGGGAGAGGGAGGGGGAGGCTAAAAACAGAAACACTATGTTTAATTTCAACAATGCAGGGGTACATTCTGAAGTCGGGGTCTTATTCCAACTTAAAACGGTCCTGAGAACTTCACTGACTTCCTGTCAATCAGAGGATTTCAAAAAAAAGAAGTCCCGACAAAGTCCCGCCTTCTACCTGTCAATCACAGAAATTAGATGTGTAGGAATGTATGAGTGCGTGTGTGTGCGTGCGTGTGTGTGCGTGTGCGTGCGTGTGTGTGTGTGTGTGTGTGCGTGTGTGTGTGTGTGTCTGGATGAGTTTATAAAAGAAATGGAAACCCCCCTCCTCCATCATCATCACCTTTTCACTTGTTCTGTGTTAATCTCTCCCCTCCAGGTTTAGAACCAATGAGAGGATCGGGTTCAACAGGAAGTCCTGGAGATGGAGGGACAAAGTGGGAGGAGCCTGGGAGGAGCAGCAAGCACTGTGATTGGGTGAGACAGCTGTCAGTCAAAGCATGAATTCCATGATTCCAATACAAAATAGATTAAAGTTTATAAAATAAAACAATTTAAGATTAAAAGACCAATTAAAGAGGGGAAGTAGATATTCACCTATAAAATGAATAATATAAATTAAAACCTATAAAATAAATAAAACTATATAGAAATAAATAAAGAATAAAATACTATTTAAAGGGGGGGGGGGGGGGGGTGTCACCAATACAAGTTTTTTTCTAAAGATATCCCTTTTTATTCATTTACCCACTCCATTTTTTATCTTCAGGTGACCTTGAGATGTCAGCTGATGATGAGGAGGAGGAGGTGAAGAAGAGGAGGTGAGGAAGGATGAAGAATTAAGGGGTTTTCCACCTGTCTAAAACCCTCCTGCAGCTGCTGCCTGTAATGATGCTGCCATCACAACTATATTTAGGACTAACTTAAAATAAATGACTACAAATAAATCACATAAAAGCTAATAAATAAACATATCAATAACAATATCAAATGAATGAATTCTAAAGATTAAAAGAACATTTAAAGGGGGGTGTCACCAATAGAAAGCTAATAGAACATCTTGGTTTTAACTCCTAACTTCTTAACCCTTAAATGTCACATGACACCCGTTTGATCCCTGTGACTCGCTGTTATTCCTCATATGGACACACACTGTTAAAGACTCTCTGCACGAGGATACATAAACCAGTGAAGGGTTCATTCAATACAATGTGATTTAAATCTAAAGAAGTGACACTGAGTTTCTGTGTGGCAGTTTCAATGGAGGAAACAGGGACACCTTGTGGCTGTCTGAGGGACTGCACCACCTCTGTGTGACTTAATTAGTTTTAATTAGTGTCAGCAACAGGATACGATTAGGATAATACATTATATTTAAATGTCGTATTAATCCAGTCTCTCAAAACCATGATAGAAAACTAATTTAAAGATTTTTGTTGTAATTTATTTTGTAGTTTTTAGATCTTTTTACGAGGAAACTATATGTACAAAGTATCAAGAAAAGTCAATTCAGAGCCAACTTCTGAGGATTAGCAAATAAATAACCAATCTGTGTATTCATCGGGTCTCGGGGGTATCAGTTCCAGCAGAGAGCCCCAAACGTTCCTTTCCCCTCATCAACCAGCTCTGACTGGGGGATCCCAAGGCGCTCCCAGGCCAGCGAAGAGATATAATCCCTCCACCTAGTCCTAGGTCTACCCCTTGGTCTCTTCCCAGCTGGACGTGCCTGGAACACCTCCCTAGGGAGGCGCCCAGGTGGCATCCTAACTAGGTGCCCGAACCACCTCAACTGGCTCCTTTCGACGCGAAGGAGGAGCGGCTCAACTCCGAGTCCCTCCCTGATGACCGAACTTCTCACCTTATCCCTAAGGGAGACACCAGCCACCCTGCGGAGAAAACCCATCTCGGCCGCTTGTATCCGCGATCTCGTTCTTTCGGTCATGACCCATCCTTCATGACCATAGGTGAGGGTAGGAACGAAAATGGCCCGGTAGACAGAGAGCTTTGCCTTCTGGCTCAGCTCCCTTTTCGTCACTACGGTGCGGTAAAGCGACTGCAGTACCACTCCCGCTGCTCCGACTCTCCGGCCCATCTCACGCTCCATTGTTCCCTCATTCGAGAACAAGACCCCGAGATACTTGAACTCCTTCACTTGGGGTAAGGACTCATTCCCTACTTGGAGTGGACAGTCCATCGGTTTCCTGCTGAGAACCATGGCCTCAGATTTGGAGGTGCTGATCCTCATCCCAGCCGCTTCACACTCGGTTGCGAACCGATCCAGTGAGTGCTGAAGGTCGCAGACCGATGAAGCCATTAGAACCACATCATCTGCAAAAAGCATCTCATCTCATCTATCATGGGAACACATAATGCACTTTAATGTTTAGGGAGGACATATTCATTATTAGGGATAATCCGATCAATCGGCCGCCGATCGTTATCGGTGCTCTCTATAAAGGCAGATCAGGAGAGCCGATCACATGACATAAAATACATGACACTTTTCTCTGTGCGGTAAAACAAGCTCGCCAACATGGCTTCACCGGTCTGGCAGTATTTAAGGTGTCTGAAAAAGACAGTAAAATAGCGGTGCAACGTGTGTGAAGCAGAAACCCTGCAGCTCCACCCCCTGTGACGGACCGGTGAGCGAAACACACACTAAGAGTTAGACCTAACACACTCAGAGTTAGACCTAACACACTTAGAGTTAGACCTAACACACTTAGGGTTAGACCTAACACACTTAGAGTTAGACCCAACACACTGAGAGTTAGACCCAACACACTCAGAGTTAGACCTAACACACTAAGAGTTAGACCTAACACACTTAGAGTTAGACCTAACACACTTAGAGTTAGACCTAACACACTTAGAGTTAGACCTAACACACTAAGAGTTAGACCTAACACACTTAGAGTTAGACCTAACACACTTAGAGTTAGACCTAACACACTTAGAGTTAGACCTAACACACTTAGACCTAACCAGTGTTAGGTTACAAGTAACGCGTTACCGTAACGCCGTTATTTTTGGCAGTAACTAGTACTCTAACGCAATACTTTTTAAATTCAGTAACTCAGTTACCGTTACTACATGGTGCGTTACTCCGTTAGTTTTTTTATATAGTCAACAGCCAGGCGAACAGAGATGAGAACTGTACTTAAGTACAGTACTTGAGTAAATGTACTTAGATACTTCCAGAGCCATATAATAGAAGAGTTACGACAACGGAAGTCCAAAAACGGTTATCGTCACGTGGTTCATGTAGACGAGGATCGTTCCCCGGAGCTTCATGGCGGGCAATGTGAATGCATTGATAACAGGAGATAGAACTACGATTGTTGCTAATTATTAGTGAATAAAGGTTTTGATTTGCAATATTTATACAACAAATCGATATGTGTATGTATTTACATCAATATGTTTTAAAAAATAAAATAGAATTTGCTAATATTAAGTGATAATATTAGGATTAGTGTGAACAGTTTACATGGTAGGCTAACAGTGCCTTGTTAAAGAGCCTGTTGCTGTTTATTTATAGCTTTGAATTCTTTAAAACCAATATTATCTTCTTAAACTTGTATGGTAGTCAGGAGCATCACTTTCTAATGTTTGATACATTTAGAGGGAGGGGATCTAAAGTAATGCTTTACAATTCAGATTAGATTAATGTCTACCATTTTCTTAAATTCATGGTAGTTTCAGTAACCATGGTAACTGAGGACACAAGTTATCTAAATGACTAATGTCATCTTTATGGCTTTCAGAAAGGACAGGAGACCGACAGGTGACTATCAAAGGACTAGCAGCAGCAGCATGATGATGATGATGATGATGATGTTAAATGTGTTGCTTTAGGAACATCCAATGCAAATACATGGAATTCAATAAACATTGAATAGCATATCATGCAGTTTGTCTGTGCCTTTTCCTCCGTGTTGTCCTGGTTTGCTGTGCTGCCTCCTAGTCTCCACCATGGTGTGCTGTGCTGCCTCCTAGTCTCCACCATGGTGTGCTGTGCTGCCTCCTAGTCTCCACCATGGTTTGCTGTGCTGCCTCCTAGTCTCCACCATGGTTAGCTGTGCTGCCTCCTAGTCTCCACCATGGTTTGCTGTGCTGCCTCCTAGTCTCCACCATGGTGTGCTTGTGCTGCCTCCTAGTCTCCACCATGGTGTGCTGTGCTGCCTCCTAGTCTCCACCATGGTTTGCTGTGCTGCCTCCTAGTCTCCACCATGGTTAGCTGTGCTGCCTCCTAGTCTCCACCATGGTTAGCTGTGCTGCCTCCTAGTCTCCACCATGGTTAGCTGTGCTGCCTCCTAGTCTCCACCATGGTTTGCTGTGCTGCCTCCTAGTCTCCACCATGGTGTGCTGTGCTGCCTCCTAGTCGCCACCATGGTTTGCTGTGCTGCCTCCTAGTCGCCACCATGGTGTGCTGTGCTGCCTCCTAGTCTCCACCATGGTTAGCTGTGCTGCCTCCTAGTCTCCACCATGGTTAGCTGTGCTGCCTCCTAGTCTCCACCATGGTTAGCTGTGCTGCCTCCTAGTCTCCACCATGGTTTGCTGTGCTGCCTCCTAGTCTCCACCATGGTTGCTGTGCTGCCTCCTAGTCTCCACCATGGTTTAGCTGTGCTGCCTCCTAGTCTCCACCATGGTTAGCTGTGCTGCCTCCTAGTCTCCACCATGGTTTGCTGTGCTGCCTCCTAGTCTCCACCATGGTGTGCTGTGCTGCCTCCTAGTCTCCACCATGGTGTGCTGTGCTGCCTCCTAGTCTCCACCATGGTGTGCTGTGCTGCCTCCTAGTCGCCACCATGGTTAGCTGTGCTGCCTCCTAGTCTCCACCATGGTTAGCTGTGCTGCCTCCTAGTCTCCACCATGGTTTGCTGTGCTGCCTCCTAGTCTCCACCATGGTGTAGCTGTGCTGCCTCCTAGTCGCCACCATGGTTTGCTGTGCTGCCTCCTAGTCTCCACCATGGTGTGCTGTGCTGCCTCCTAGTCGCCACCATGGTTTGCTGTGCTGCCTCCTAGTCTCCACCATGGTGTGCTGTGCTGCCTCCTAGTCTCCACCATGGTTAGCTGTGCTGCCTCCTAGTCTCCACCATGGTTAGCTGTGCTGCCTCCTAGTCTCCACCATGGTTAGCTGTGCTGCCTCCTAGTCTCCACCATGGTTTGCTGTGCTGCCTCCTAGTCTCCACCATGGTGTGCTGTGCTGCCTCCTAGTCGCCACCATGGTTTGCTGTGCTGCCTCCTAGTCGCCACCATGGTTTGCTGTGCTGCCTCCTAGTCGCCACCATGGTTTGCTGTGCTGCCTCCTAGTCTCCACCATGGTTTGCTGTGCTGCCTCCTAGTCGCCACCATGGTTTGCTGTGCTGCCTCCTAGTCTCCACCATGGTTTGCTGTGCTGCCTGGGGATGCTCCAATCGCTCAGAGAAAGGTGTACGAATGTACGGCTTCCCCACTGACACAGAGCGGAGGAAGCAGGAGCAATTTCACAACCAACAGCAAAAAAAATATGTGATTTATATACAAACACTGCATTTGCACTTTTTCACAAAACGAAAACCACACCATTGGGAAAGCTTAATGTTTTGTTTAATACAAAAAACAGGGAAAGGCTTGAAAAACACTGAGAGTTGAGACTCAGGGTGCAGGGTGAGGGTCTCAGTGCAGGTATTCAGGCTCCATTGAATCCCCCTCTGGTTCTTGTGCTGAAAGAGGGAGTAAACAGACAGGAGGAAGGGTTATACACAACCTATATAGCACACCTATTGGATGGGAAATTGCCTTGGGGAGATAAGGTGTGGTCTTTGTTCCCAACTGAAGTTATGGAACTTTATTATTTGTGAGTTTAACAAAGTATGACAAATGGCATCAGTAACAGATGTGATATGAATTTCTATAAAGTTGTCTCACATTCTTGGTCATATTGTATATACAGTATGTAATGAGTATAACATGTCCAGTAAGTATAAAGTGTTTCCTAATACTGTGTATTCAACCACTATGGAATATGTATGTGGGCAGACAAAACTGAGTTGTTCTGTGTGTGAAGTAACCTCAAGTCACTCTGCAGGCACATTTTGATGCAGACCAGTTTGTCAAGACAAAAAAGGGCAAGGCTGAGAGCAGAGGCTATACCCACCATCTTCGTGCATCGCCCTGTGGTCAAAAAGAGAAGGGCCCCTGCACCACGATTCACCCCGGGACCTGTATCTACAAAGCCCATAGCTCATGATCACAGCGATAGTGTGAAAGGTGACACAGGTATAATAAGTATGAACTCTTAGTAACAAAAGTAATATTTCTTATTTTTAAGTGGTATAATATTTTAAATGTTCGAACATTTACAGTGCCATGTCTTCTACTTACATTAGTCTTAAAGATTGAGGGAAGAAGGGAAGGGATCACTGCCCTCCACCTGCCAGAGGAGCGCAAACAACAAAAACAAGCAAGGTGTCCCGTCATGTACCTGGAAGTTTGGGTTGGCCAAATGGAGTAAGAGAGGGACTTGGAAAACCTTGGTGGCTCTCTACTCCTGTTGTTACAGTTGTCTTGGTTACAGCGCTCAAGTTTTTTTTGGTGCCATTTCCACATCTTTAGAAAATATGAAAAAATTGAAGTGAAATCAACCTCGTCTCTGGAGAACAAACTTTGATTTCTCTGTCTTGTGAGTTTGCAGTCTTGCTCCTCCACCTGTAACATCACTGCCCCTCCACCTGCCATACAGTAGGTTACTAACAAGATTACTTATATAATACAGTGATAGAATACATGTTTAGTATGCTTACTTATATAAAACAGTAGTATTAAACTTACCTTGTGTGTTCACTCTCACTTAAGTCCCTCTCCCTTTGCCATCAATCCAAAATCAGCTGAGCTGCAACATTATACACACAGGTAATAATCAACATAATCACAAGGACACAATATGGCTCTGCTAAAAACACTCACTCTTACACGCACCAAAGTTATATGTATCTAATATTTAACTCCCTCCACCCCCGCATACAATCCCGTTTAGAAGCCCCTCTTCTCTAATTCAACAACGTTGGACCAAATAGACATTAAGAGAACGGAATTTACAATTAAAAGGCTGTTCAACGTGTGTTGCTAACTTGCTTCGGTATCCTAGCTTGATCTGTTATCTGTAAACGTTTCCTAAATCTACTAATTTAGGGATAATCCACTGACATCCTTTAATACACATGTTCAATTGAATCAGATGTACTGATAATATCCGCAATATAAATCTTTAAACGTCTTCTTACCTTTAAAAGTCCGTCACGAACGGTCTATTATGCTGCAACTCCACAGCTCTGCTAGCCTTGGTGCTAACTTCCGGGGAACGATTGAGAGGCTCCACGATCCGCCATTGCTGTAAAAAAGTGGTCCATTGGAGTGAACGGAGATGTCATAACTCTTCTATTATATGGCTCTGGATACTTCCTGTGTCACATGCGGAGACGCGCTGTGGGCGTGTTTGTGTTGTTTACTAACAAGACTATCATGGCGGCGGCAGAGCTCAAGTCTAGTTTCTCCACCTGGAGATATTCTCACTATTTCACTTTTGTCGAGCACAAAGAAAAGAACGTTTTAGTTAAATGTAAGTTGTGTCTTGGCGGGTCAAAGATCCTATCTACTGCCCAAACCAGTCATTCAAATCTCTTAAAACATCTGCAAAAACAACATGCTGGGACGAAGCTAGTAGCTAAGACCACAGAGACTCAGCCGACGCCACTCCACCTCCACCCAAGCAACAGCGGCTGGATTTTAACCAAAGGACTGCTGGCCAGGGAAAAGTGGATAAAGCCATTGCACGGTATGTTGTAGAACACATGCAGGCTATTGCTACAGTGGAGTCACCCGCTTTCAGGGAGCTAGTTAGCATGATAGCATGTCCGGGCGGCACACGGCATATGGGACGGAACACTTTTTCCAACTACCTGGAGAAAGAATATACAAAAATGGAAAGCCAGCTAATATCGATGCAATCCAGATTGCATATAATGCATGTCAAGTTGATCAACAGATTGTATTATTCTCCAATGCAATAACAGTACTGAAATGAAGGTTATAAGGGCATTAATGGGAGACCTTTTGGTAACTAACAAAAACGTTACTTTTCACAGTAACGCATTACTTTTGGGTGTAAGTAACTAGTAAAGTAACTGAGTTACTTTTGACATGAAGTAACTAGTAATGGTAACTAGTTACTGGTTTTCAGTAACTAGCACAACACTGGACCTAACACACTTAGAGTTAGACCTAACACACTTAGAGTTAGACCTAACACACTAATGGCGCGTTTCCACTGCAGCGGGTAGCCCCGTTTAAGCGTCCTTAACCGTCCTCAAGCGGCCAGGCCGGTTTTTGGTGGCGTTTCCATATAGCCTAGTACCGGCCAGCGGGTACTTTTTCCCTCTTTTTCCGGCCTCATAAAATCGTGGTTCCCTCAGACCAGGGCCAGGGCTGAACTAGTGACGTCAACACTCTCGACTGCTGATTGGTCAGAGAGAATCGTCACAAGATCGCTCGCGAGTTCATCCCTAGCGTCGCATATATATTTAGAAGCAAGCTTGCAGCATTTTTATAAACAGCATTTTGTAAACGGATGAGCTACAAAAATGGCTACGTCTAATAAGAAAAGCACACCGTGGTCGACCGAGGAGGTGACGACGTTCCTTCATCTCATTGGGGATGATCAAATCCAGCGGGAGCTCGACGGAACAACTCGAAATGTGAACAAAAACAAAGCTGATCGCCCCGCCTACACTGCGTTGCTACCCCAGGTCCTAAACTGTAATGGAAATGCGCCACGGCCTGGGCCGGCCAGCGAGGCAGCCCGAGGCCAGAGCGAGGACGCTTAGGGACGCTTAAACGGGGCTACCCCGCTGCAGTGGAAACGCGCCATAAGAGTTAGACCTAACACACTTAGAGTTAGACCTAACACACTTATAGTTAGACCTAACACACTAAGAGTTAGACCTAACACACTAAGAGTTAGACCTAACACACTAAGAGTTAGACCTAACACACTTAGGGTTAGACCTAACACACTTAGAGTTAGACCTAACACACTTATAGTTAGACCTAACACACTTATAGTTAGACCTAACACACTAAGATACACTAGTTATACATATATGTATTCTTCACTGTCGGGTTAGGGCTGATGCTGATTCTGGCGATCGGAGCATCCCTACTCATTATTGTAAAAAAGGTTGAATGATCTAATGAGCTGTTGATTGATATGTAAATGAACCAGAATCACCTGAGAATCTGTGACCCTGATCCTGATCCTGATTTATATGTAATGTAATATTTTAATGTAGACTTATTGAGAGTGAGAAAACAGACACGGTGTTTGAAACATAATTTAATTCTACT